ACAGAGATCTTAGCACCAGAGCCATTCGACATGGAGTTGTAGCGTCACAGAGCCAGGGTCAGAGAGGGAATGTTCTAGACTTTCTGGGTCACTCGGTCTCCATTGCAGCTATTCAACCCCGTAGTGGTACAAAAGCAGCCTTAGACAATACCTAAGGGGTGTGCATGGCTCTATTCTGATAAAACTATTCATGGATGCTGAAATTTGAATTTCACATAATCTTCACGTGTCATGGCATATTATTCTTTTGATTTTTTTTTTCCCCCAAACACTTAAAAATGTCAAAAACCATTCTTAGCTCATGGTCCGTAGAAAAACAGATGGAGGCCGGATTTGGCCTGTGGGCCGTGGATTGCAGATCCCGGCGTGGCGGAAGGAACAGTGGCGTCCGCTAGGCGTGCCGGGCCGGCTTTGCTGAGGGGGAAGCTCGGATCTGGTCTCTGAGTAACTGAAGGTTTCACCTGGACCCAGAGCTGGGGGAAGGGAGAGGCGGGTCTTCTAAGCAGAGGGGACCACAGTCGCTGGGGTAGAGGCATAAATAGGGTGTCTGGGGTGGCGGGAAGTTTGGAGTGACTGGATTAGAGGTGCAAAGTGGGGAAGTGGGGCACTGAGACAGGAGAGAAGATTAGGGTGGGATTGGGAAGCCATATGAGCCATGGAAAGGAGCTGGGCACGTCCTGAGGGCCGTGGGGCTCCAGGGCCAGTCTCTGGACATTTCAGGAGGCTTACCTTGGTCACGGCAGGGGGACCAGGAAAGAGTTGCCCCCACAGATTGGGCAGACAGCCTGTGGGAGCCTGGATGGAGGCGGTAGCAGTGGGGACAGCAGCCGGGAGCAACAGGGGGCAGAGAGGTGGACGGCCACCCACAGGTCCCAGATTCCAGGGGGTTGCTATTCGGGGACTAGGCACCCCTTACCTGCTCTCTCTGTGTGACCAGGAGGTGACTAATGCTGGGGCAGAATGAGGGTGGGCAGGGCCTCTCATTTGTGGAGGGCCCACCGCGTTCCAGGCACGGGGCCCGGAGTGTGGACGTTGATTATACAAACTGGGTCATTCTCGTCACACTCAACTAAATCAAAGTGGGAGAGCCAGGGGAAAAAGCGCTCAGGGCGCGTAGCACCTGCTCCAAGAACTTAATTGTCCACATGCCCAGCTGCTGACATGGCCTGCAGTAGCCCTGAGGCTGGCTTTACCCAGTGGCCGCTCAAACAACCTGTTGCGACTCCAAGACTAGTTTTACCCGCTGCAGCCAGAGCTTGTCAGCTCCCCAAACTCTACTAGTGCCAGGGAGCTTCCTTTCAAGATGGTACTAACCTTTCTCTTTGTAATAAAACTCCCCCTTCTCTCTGTTCTTCAGACGTACCGAAGACCACTCAGGCTGTGTGTATGCCCCGAATTGCAGTGCTTTTCTCCCCCTCTTTCCTTTTTGAAACACGCTTCAAGAAAAGTATTGGATTATACTGTTTGCTTTCCAAACAAAACATTTAAAATCTAGAGATTCATCTTTATAGTTTATTTGGCTTTGACAGGAGCTTTATGGACGTCATTGAATCCCACCTCTGTCCTACAAACGGGGTTTAGGGTTCTCACTCTCCAGATGAGAACTCCAGGGCTCAGGAAGACCAAGCGATTGGCCGGGCTGTGTAGCTGGTAAGTGACGAAGGGGAGCTCTGATCCGGGGCTCCTTGCTCTAAGCCACCAGTCTCTGTCAACCTGAGGCTCTGCTGGGGCGGTTTGGGAGTGTGGGGAGCCTGGGCCCCGACAGGACATTCTTAGGGGTGCCCACTCACACTGGGGACTGCAGGGGTGGGGTGAGGCACAGCAGGTGACAGGGAGGTGGGAGGGGGCCGGTGGTCGGCAGAAGGGGTGAGTAGGTCGTCCATCGGGAATCTGGATTTGTCTCCAGAGCAAGGAGCCACCGGTGTGGCTGAGAGAGACTCTGGCAGACAGCGTTGTGGGCTTCTGTGTGGTCCTCCTTCCTGCAGCCCTGCCAGGTTGGGAGGACACTGCAGTGTGCCTTGGCCATGGTTCTGGTCACCCTGCACCCAAAGCTGTCCTCCCAGAACAGGCGCCTCCCCAACCCCTGCCCAGGCACCTGCCCCAGACAATCAGTTCCGCTCTGTCTCTCTCCCGCTCAGCAGGGCCCAGCTCTCCATGGGTTGCCACTGGCTACAGGGAGCGCCTGGCACCACTGGGCCCCAGTCTTCTCCTTCAACCCACTTCATTCCACCCCAACAGAAGCCCCTTGCTGCCCTGGCCCCTGCGAGGCGCAGTTGCTGAGAAGCCCCTGCCCCATAACTGCAGGGAGACGCAGTCCCCACGGTGCAGCGGCCCCACCCTCCCCTGGCCCTCCCCTGGTCTGAAGTACCCTCCAGGCATTCGTGCCCAGGGCTGACCAAGCACTCGTTCTGGGTCACGAAGGAAAGACAGGGCTTAAAGGGAAGCCAGGGGCGTCGAATCCTAAAGCCAAAGACGGCGGGATATTGGAAAGGCCAACAGAGGAGGCAGGTATAACGGGAGCCTCCATTAACACGGGGTTCTGAATGTGGGAGGTGAGTGCGTTGAGGGAACATCTAAATTACGGGCGAGGGTCTCTCAGGTACCCCGGGAAACCTGGCTGCCCTGGGGACCACGATGGCTCCCCGTTTTGGGGCGCCGTGGGAGCCCTGGTTATAGGGTGGGACTGGAGGGATTCGTATCTCAGGGAGGGTTTCTTTCGGGGAATGAAGCTAATCCAATAAACATTAAAGTGTCTCTGTTTCCATGTCACTTCAGTGACCCCCCGGAAACTCCACACCTGGAGCAGGTGGATTCACCCTCTAACTCCTGTCTTAGCGATCACAGACTGTGACTTTGAGTAGCCACCGACCCCAGTGTGCACGATGTCGCCCAGCCCCAGAGCAGCCCTGTGCACCCGTGTTGTCACCCCTGTTCCACAGATGTGGAGCAGGCGTGACGTGCTGGGCTCTCCTGATGGCCACCCTGGCCCTCCAGGCCACCGAGGAAGCCCCCTTTTGAGTTCCATCTCCTAGAGAAAGGCACTGTGTTTGCTATGTGCTAACCAGGAGCATAAGGTTTACATTAGATGTTTTATGAAGCTTCTCACAAGGCTAGTAAGTTACCAAGCTAATAACACCGTGTTCTGTTGTTACTTCACTGCAGGGGTGTGCACCTGTGGTCCTGGTGAAATTATCACCTGTGAGGGTAGCGGTTCTGTTTTCTGCCCCGTGTAAGTCCCCTTCCTGCCAGGGACCGGCACAGAGTAAGTGCTCGGCCAACACTGGCCTGGTTTTCTCTTCCTTCCCCCCACATTTGACGTGCTCTGCCCCTAAGTCATTCTGCCTAGGAAGGAAGACATGGAAGGTTGCCAAAGTGTCCCTCGGATCCCCCTCCCTTTGGGCGTTTTGAGGGGTATCCCCAGCTGACCTCAGGAACAGAGGTCACGTTCATTCCCATGATGCGTCTTCTCACGGGCTTGGGCAATTTAGACTTCGCCTGGTGGGAAGGCCGGCGGGGGAACTGTGGCCTCTCACCGTCCCTTAGGGCTGCAGATTCCCGGATGCCAATTTCTCATCTCTGGCCTGGGTCCACTGCCCACTGAGGGACACCTGTCTCCAGGACTCAAGCTCTTAGCCCCACTGTGGGGCTCAGGCAGAGCTGGTGTTTTGTGATGACACGCAGCCCCCATGTCTCCCCCTCTCCCTTCCCCATCCACCTCTGCTTTATCTTCCGTTCACCTAATGGCTGCCACCCTGGCACGAGGGTGCTGCTGGGAGCTGGGGAGGCCCCCTCTTCCAAGTTCTCGCTCCTAGCAGAAGGGCACTGTGTTTGCTAATAGGTGTTAAATGGGAGCATCAAATTTTAATCAGCTTCCTAATGGAGTCTGGGGACCTGGGGGAGTTCTCGAGTCCTGCATTGCGCTGCCTGCCGAGCCAAGCTGGACGCGGCGAGTGGGAAGGCGGGATGAGCAGCTGCTGTCACAGCCAGAGCTGCTGGAAGACGAGGTGGAGCTGGTCCAGGCCACGGCCACCTCCGCCCAGAGCTGAGGGCAGCACGGCTCCAGTGGCCGGTGTCATCACTGTGACTACTCGTGGTGACCCATTCACTGCTGGCTTCCCCTTGGTGGGAAGCAGAGCTGGCAACAAATGTGAACGGGGAGAACACCGGAGTCGGAAGACCCTGGTGCATATCGTGGGCTTTTCCAGTGGAGTGGATGACTGTGGACAAGGCCCCTGGTGTGGTGGCTCGTCACCATAACGGTCCCCAGTGAACCAGACCTCACCGTGTCCTTACTCTTTTGCAACAGGAGGCTGCCGCTCCTCCCATGGACAGGCAGAGTGCATTTCCCCGTCTCCTGGACACGGGGCTGGCCTGTGGCTTCTTTGACCGAGAGAATGTAGCAGAAATGTCACTGGGTGAATTCTAGAGCTTAGGCCTTAGGAGGCCTTGTGGCTTTTGCTTTCCGCTCTCTGGGAATGCCGCCTTGAGACCAGCAGGAAGGAAGCCCGTACAGCCCGCTAGCAGGCGACAGCCCATGTGGCGGAGAACCAAGGTGCCCCGTTCACAGCCAGGCGTGGGAGGGAGGCCATGCTCGACCTTCATTCAGCCCAGTCACGCTGTCAGATGACGCAGCCGTATGGGCGGTCCCAGGTGAGCCCTGCAGGAGAACCACCCAAACTGCAAACCCACAGGTTGTGAGAAACACAAAACATCATAGTGTCAAGGCAGTTTGGGGACCTCGTTGCTTATGAATAGAAAACTGAATCGCTGAGCTTCTCTGCGCCTGGGATTCTCAGACATAGCGTGGGGCTGGTGCTGAGCACCGTGTCCTGGGGAGCTGCGTCCATGAGGGGGCCCTGGCCAGTGCCGGGACACAGCAGGTCTGCCTGGGAGGAGGAGCGCTCAGTGCAGCGGGGCGGAGGCGGTGAGGCCGGCGGGGACGGAGGCCGGTGAGGACGACGGAGGCTGGCGGGGACGGAGGCGGAGAGGCCGGCGGGGAAGGGCCTCGCCGCTGCGTAAGGAGACGTGGAATCGTTCCGCGGTGCTGGCTGGGACCAGAGGCGGGGAGCAAGTGCGAGACATTTCAGAGACGAAAGACGGGGCTCGATGAATGACTGGTACGAGCACGCAGGATGAGTCAGAGATGACTTGGAGGTTGCCAGCTGGGGCGAGGGAACAAACTCGCTGCCTGCCGAGGAGAGGAAGGCGCGAGGCTGAAGGCGAAGACGCGCGGTCCGGCTGTGCGCGCGCGGCGTGGTAAGGTGGCTGGGCTCAGCAGCGAGGCCGGGCCGGCGCTGGAGATGCAGGGCTCACTGGAGCAGGGAGCCCCGGAAACCCGGGGAGGGGGTTGGGGACACAGGACGGTTGACACCAGGGTGTCTCCAGGGACTCAAGTGAAGTCCGGCTGGAGCAACAGCCCAGGTGGCCGCCCCAGCATGGCCTTGTAAAGACCCCGTCTGTAGCGGGTGAGACCATCAGGAAGCCCTTGGTTTGGGGAGGAAACGTGGAGCAAAGGGGGCCTCGTAGGTGGGTGGCTTCCCCACGACCTCGGTGCCGGTTCCGAATCTCAATCTACGATCTGATCTAACTTTAGAAAGCCCGTCTACACAACTCCACAAGCAGGTGCTCCCTGCAGTGCCCTCCTGGCCAAGGATTCATGGATGATTCTTTTCCCTCTTCCTTCTACTTTTTTTTTTGTACATTCCAAGTTTTCTATAATGAACATTCAATACTTTCTTTTTTTGGTATGCAATATTTTTAAAGGAGTAAAAAACAAATCATAAAAATAAATCAAAACAAGAAGCAGCTTTAAAGCTGGAGATTCAGAGCCCTAACTTCTAGGAAAAGGGGTGTTCCCGGTACAGCTCTGCTTCCAGACACAGGACCCCACCAAAGACAGAGTCCGGGGAAGACAGAGTGGGGACCACGGTCACTCTCCGCGGGAGCTGCAGAGACTGATCCAGGGTAGCCGGGCTCCTGGAAACCGAAGCGCAGCTAAGGGAAGGTGCTGGTGGCCGCTGGGAAGGGGAGGGCGAGAGAAGGAACCTGGTTTTGACAGGCCTTTTGGGAGAGCCTGTGTCTTAGGTACTTGGTTCTGAGTTGGCCATAGCTGACGTGTGTTGGGGAGTCCCTGTGGGCCAAGCTACAAGGTTGGGTCCTCCCACCTGGGAAAATGGCACAGTTCAAGTCACCAAATCTCGAGGCCAGGCATGGAGGCATGAAATTTAATCTGGGAGGAGAACTTCTGGAGGCACTGGGCAGCGGGAGGAAAGTCCGAAGCTTTACTCCTGGTCTGAGATGTGAGTAGATGCAAGAGAGCTGCCTGGGTTCCGGGTAGGGGGAGGGAGAGGAGAGGCATGAGGTGAGGAGGCCCAGGAATCAGCCAGCTGACCTGCAGTGGGCCTAGGAATGGTGCCAGGTGGCGGAAAGGGAGAAAGGCTGAATCTTAATGCCTTTCCCGGGGGATCCTGCCCTCAGCTCACCCTGGCCCCGGGCGACCGTGGCCCCCTGACGCTGGCCAGCCCGTGCAGGCTGCTTTCATCCTCCTTGCTGTTGGAGAAAGGGCCCCTGAGGTGTGCCAGCCCTGCTTCTGCACACTCAGAGCAGGCTGCGGCCAGCGTGCCGGCGCTAGGGGCCGGAGAGAGGAGAATTCAGCCCTGGGGAAGCAGACATTGCACACACAGTCTCTTCTGTCCAGAGGGGCCGTTACTCCTGCTTCTCTTTGGCAGGGGGGTCATCTTGAAAGAGGGAAATCCACTCACCCGCTTGCTTTGAAAGGTCCACTTTTAGCTCGCTGTGAAGCAGGCGGCTGTGTGAAAGTCGGTATTAGTGTGACTGCCCCTGCAAGGGCGGCGGGTCCTTCCTACCAGTTGAACGCCTGTTTCCCCTGGTGGACTGTCGTATGTCGTAGTTACGGCTGCAGTGACAGGTACGGTTTGTTGACTGCTTAGCTGACACCAGGCTCCTTTGAAGCACTTCGCAGCTAGCATCCATCTCATCCTATGGTGACCCTACTGTCCCCGTTTTGCACGCAGGGAACCAGCGGTGTAGTGAATTAGCTTAGTTCTCAGTGCCCGGAGGCCGATGCAGGCGTCTGCTGCAGAGCCCACACCACGGACCAGCGTGCTGCCACGCTGCACACAGTAGGCGCTCACGAAATGTTTGTTGAATTGAATTAATTCCAACAGATATTCCCAAGGAAGCCAAAAGCTGTAAGTTCTTGGGAACCAAATCTCTTTAAAAACCACTTTTGGAGTCTCTGTTACTAGGAAGAAAATGGAAGAGGAGGGTGGGTAGGTTTCCAGGAGGGATCTTGCGTTTCCATTTTTGTAGCTGCTGTGCCTGCTGCCCCTGCCCCTGCCCCTGCCCCTGCCCCTGCGGCCCTTCCTCCGCATCCGCCCTCTCGGGGAAGGGAAGAGGACGGTGGCAGACAGGAGCGGGGGCAGTACAGAGATCAGCTCTCTCTGCTGCTGGAGCCGGTGAGGCGGAGGCCAGACAAGCTCGAGCTGAATGCAATTTTTGTCAGAGTTCCCTTCCCGTCTATGAATGCAAATCCTGAATTACAAGCCATCCGGATGACAAGTTGACATTTTAGCTCCAAACATTCTCCTATAATTAGCAGAATCTAATGCAATACAGGGAATGGCTCCATTTTACACACACATTATCGTAATGCCTTTAAATAAGATAATTGATTATGCCTCTGCATAAGAAAGTGAAATATTCAGTGTAATTAAAACCAGCATTCCGGTCCTGGCTCCCTGACAGGTGATCCACGTGTCACTTTATAAACCCTTAAAGTAGTGCTCACACCCACATCCCAGTTTGCAAAGTTTGTTATAAAAAAAAAACTTTGGAGAATTTTTTTTTCCTTCTCGTGGTTTCCAGCTTTGGGTGTGGAAGTCTGAGTGGGGGTGGCTGTTGACTGTGGGGTATTTCAGTGTTCCTCCTCGGCTCCCTGACACTGTCACTAACTCTGTCTCATGTGTCCCTACTAGATCTTCATTTCAGAGACGGGCAGTGGAGGCAGAGGGAAGTGACAGCAATTCTGTCACTGACTGGAAGTCACTCATCTGTCTCACAGCCCTTGCAATTAGGTTTGATGTTGAATTCTTCCACTAGAGTGGGGAGAAGTGTGGTTTGGTGGACGGAATGGAGGGCTGGAATCAGGAAATCTGGATTCTAGTCTTGGCTCTGGAATCACTTGGCTTCTCTGAGCCTCAGTTTCTTGGTTTCTACTTCGTTGATCAACTAGGGGCAAAATTAGATTGAATGTGCAAAGTGAGAAATCTTGGTGTGACAGAAACCCTGGGTGGTCTGGGGCTGGGGTGGGGAGATGACTCGTTTGAGCAGAGAAAAGTCAGATTTGGCTGGGGAATCTCAGTGCCCCTTCACTCCTGACCCAACCTCGATCTTCTGGGAGTTGAGTCGTGGGAGGGAGATGGAGTGTCTGACACCAGTAGGCAGGCTGGCTGATTCGTGCGTGGGCAGCTCTGTCTAGCTAGTCCCTGGAGATGATGCTACAGACATCTCAAGTGGCATGGTCTCTATCCTGAATTGCCTCGGCCCTCTGAGTAGTTTTCCAAAGGGGTTCGTTGGTGACCTGATTCTAAGGAATGGCTGGAGGGGTGTAGGGTGAATACTCTGGGACTAGGAAACGGAACTACTCCAGTTGGTTTCTTCTCAACTAGCGACTAGTGATGTCATCCTTATTACCATGAACCCCATTGATTTATTCCAGTAACCTAACCTCACTCGCCAAAGCCTAGCTCCCTCCAGCGTGTCAACACCAGCACGTTCGTGCAGTAAAAGCTCTTGTTTGTGCTGTCCTGTTCACACCTGTGTTAGTTTCCTAATCGCTGTTGTAACTAATTGCCACACACTTAGTGGCTTAAACCAGATCTATTATCTTACATTCCTAGAGGTCAGAATTCTGAAGTGGGTCTCAATGAGCTAATCTCAAGATTTGGTCAGAACCCACATTCCTTCGGGATGCTGTAGGGGAGCCCGGCTTCCCGAGACTGCACTCCTTGGCTAACGGTCTCTTCCTCTGCCCGAAAAGCCAGCCAGGGCTGGCCGGGTCCTTCTCACTGTGCCCTTTCTCCGATTCTGATCCTTCTGTCCTTCTTCCCCATTTAAGGATCCTTGGGATTACATTGAACCTCCTGGGATAATCCAGGAAAGCCTCCCCCTCTCAAAATCCTTAACACAATCACATCCTCGAAGTCCATTTTGCATGTTGTAAGGTACCCACAGGTGCCAGGGATTACAGTGTGGGCATGATCGAGGGCCATTATTCTGTCCACCATCATGTTCTGGCTCCAAAGGTAATTGCATTAGTTATTTATTCCTTCTTAACAGATTTCCCCCCAATTTAGTGGCTTAAACAACAAACATGTACCATCTCTCAGTTCCTGTTGGTGGTCAGAACCCAAGTTCCCTATGGTTCAGGGTCTCTCACGAGGCTGTAATCAAGGGCAGTTGAAGCTATAGTTACCCCGAGGCTTCATGGGGGAGGATTTGGTCACATGGCTGTCAGCAGCCCTTGGGTCACTGCTGGATGTTAGCCAGAGACACCAGTCCCTTGCACAGGGGCCTCTCCACCATGCAGCTCATGTCATAGCAGATGGCTTCCTTCAGAGTGAGCAAGGGTGAGAGCTAAGGAGGACGCCCAAGATGGGAGCCACAGTCTTTTTATGACCTGATGTTGGACGTGACATCCCATCACTTCTGCCATATTCTATTTGTTAGAAGTGAGTCAACAGAGTCGGGCTACATTCAAGAAGTGATTACACAGGGCATGGGGATCACATTTGCGGGCCAGGTAGGAGGCCGCTCACACCAGCAATCACACACACCATTTCTCACAGGGTGGGCTGGTCCCTAATGGGCAGAGATTAGTTCTCCAGGATTTAAGGCAGGAGAACTCAGACTTTAGAGACTTCATCCCCGTGCATAGGAGAGTGAGATGTTGGGGGTGTAGGTAGGTAGGTAGGTGGGTGACTACCTTGACCTCTTCTATCTAGGTCAGTGGTTCTCAAACTTAGGAGGCATATTAGAATTATCTGGGAAGTACGATAAAATGCCAAAGCCTAGGCCAAACCTGTATCCTCTTATTTAGTGGGACTGGAGAAGAACTCACATGCCTGCATCTTTTGGAACTCCTGAAATGATTCTGATTTGCACCAAAGTTTGAGAAGTATGAGCCCTGGATCCAAAGGGCTTGCTGATGCCTAAAAGATGGGTTTGTAGACACTATGGAATGATTAGAAGTCCGGCTGTCCCAAATGATGATGATGATGATGATGATGGCATTGGCAATAATAAGAACTATTGTTTATGTGACTACTTCATACTTGGCAGGCATTGTGCTAAGTTGCTATGGTCCGGAGCCTCAGTTTCCTCATCTGCGAAATGAAGAAGACAGCATCGGTGTAACCGGGGGATTGCGGTGTCCGAATGACTTAAGCCTGTGAAATGTCCAGGGACATGCGTGGCGCCTGGTAAATGCTGGATTTATACCAGCCCCTTTCTGTCCTGGCCATCCCTGAGGTCCGTGAAGCAGGATGCCATGCTGCCCGGCTGCCCTAGCCCGTTGGCACCGCTCGGTAAGGCTGCGCCAGCTCAGAGGCGCCTGTGAAGGACACTGCGCAGTGACCACAGGCCTGACGGGCTGCCCAGGAGGCCATTACGCGGGCCCGGCCGGGGTGAGGTTGGCTGCGTGGCGACCCCGGTCCTCTGCGAAAGTGCTTAGCCAGCAGCCCAGGCCGAGAGCAGTGACTCTGAGCTATTTTCACCCCCATGTGATGCAGCTGGATCTATTCCTCTTCTTAGAGAACAGACTCTGCTGGACACAGCTGTACCTCTGTAGCTCTGTGCACTTCTTGACACCAATACTAAACTCTGTTGACAATCGTTCCCAGAAGTCCCAGTCCTTTGCGGCTTCTCTAGTGCTCCCTGGCAGCCTGGCCCGGGGGCTAATGTGGGTGTGATTCTCTGTGAGCAGGACTTTTGGCCTCGCCTGCTAAAGCCATCGCCCGCATGGTCCTTCCGGTATGTCTGCACTTGTCTCCTCTCATGCCCTAAATGGGAGAGTAGAACAGGCTGGTGACCCAAGCAATCTGCTCTGTTCTGCCATTAGTAGGGAAACTGAGGCAGAGTGGAGGGCCTTATCTGCTTACTGATGGCAAGAGCTTTGACTGTAACTGAGAAGTTCCGAGCCTCCTGGAAGCTTCCAGCCAGTGAGGACACTCACAAACGGACTTGTCTCGTGTGCTTTTCTCTGCCGGATTCAGAGACTGGGGCTCGATGACAAACACAAAAGTTCTGCAGTTCTAGACCCAGTGGGGCTGAGTTCAAGATTTGAAAGAGGTTTGCAATACTCAACTGAGAGTCAGAAGGAGCACCCTTTAAATCCTGATCTTGCCATTGTCTTGCTGTGTTACTGAAGGCGAGTGAGTTCACTCACCTGTCCCAGCCTTGGCTTTCGTACTTGGGTCTTGGCTGTATCTGTCAGCACGGGCTGATCCTGCAGCAGCAAGCAACCCCCAAACCTCAGTTGCTTATCCCATCAAAGATTTATTTCTAATTCATTTTTCATGTCCATCCTGTGTCCACTGAGAGCTCTGCTACTCATCGTCTTCATTCTAGGACTCATATGGACAACATAGTTACCATGAGAAACATCGCCAATTTCTGTGGCCGACGGGCAGGGGGAGTGGGGGCCAGTGAAGGTGCATGGGCTCTTACAGCTTCTACCTGGAAGTGACACACATCGTCCTGCTCACGTTTCGGTGGTCAGAGCAGGTCACACGGCCACGTCTAACTCTAAGGACGTAGGAAAGTGCAATATTACCATGTGCCCGGACAGGGGCAGAACTGGAAATATTTGGTGAATGGCACTCCTGGCTACCACAATGGGTATTATTACATCAACTTCCTCTTGGGGTCATTGTAAGGATTAAGGGAGATAATAGATGAAAAATCACTTTGCAAATAGCAGACACTGGTAAGATGTTGTCTAAGTACCATTTGGGGAGCTGCCATGTACCAAACACCATGCTCGATCTTTTTGTAAACAGCAGCTCACCCCCAGACACCTGGAAGGGTATGGCTCAGCTGGTGTTGCTTCCTCTCGACACTGGGGCCTCGCTGTGATTGCTGCGTAGGGGCCACCAGCCCAGGTATGCACCTGTAGCAAGAATTCTTCCACTGGAGACTTTTGGGTGCTGTCCACAGTATTTCTTGCAAAGGGCTCACCCTTGTGATGGTTGCCCAGTGATGTCCACGAACGGGCACAACACGAATGGTCCCAAAGCCTGTCCGTCTCTGCACCCTCCTTGCTAAGGAGCACGAGAGGCCTCTTAGTTCAGTGGACCTGAGATGGTCATGGTCTGATGCGCATGTTGTTCTGAGTGTCCCTTTGTATTCTTGTCCTCCATGGTCTGCTGAGATGCCTGCTGCTTGCTTTGAGGCCCTTGGAGTGGGAATTCTTTCTGCTCTGGGGAATGTCCCTGTCACTATCGGGGGCTTCTCTGGCAGGAAAAAAGCCCACGGGGATCAGGAATGTTTTGCTGGTGGCTGCAGTGCCAGGCTCTCTGACCGTTGGAATTGGGGGGGTTTTAAACACTCACTTTCCTTTGATGGGAAGAGTCCTGCTTGAAATTCAAACTAAAAAGAGATTTCTATGTCCTTAACATTCTGTGTGGGCCAGAAGACACACCCCTGGCAACGGTAGCTCAGAACTTAGTCACTCTGTGCTCAATATACACTTGCAAATGCATTATCTCATATTGTTCTTCCAATAATTTGCTGTGACAGGTAATGTTCTTATCCCCACTTCACAGATACACAGACTGAGGCTTGAGTAGCTTATCTGCCTTCCTCAAGGTCCCATAGGTAGCAGGTGGCCAGGATTTAACTACAGGTCCTCAGAGTCCCGGCCCATTGCTCCTTGCACTGCACAGCTCTCCTTCACAGGGCTCTGTTTGCTTTTCTTTGATGATGGAAGGCGCCAGTTATCAGAGCTTTAGAGCTAGAGGGGATTTTGAAGGTGATCCGGCCCAGCTCCCTCATTTTACAGAGGAGGGAACTAGAGACTCACAGACGGGAGTGACTTGCCTGGTGGCTCCCAGTGAGCCGTCCACGGTCTCCCTCCCTTGCTTCCCTATTGTATTTGAACCTCAACGACGATAGACTTCTGGCTTTATATCTGTCGGTTCCCTGCCCTCCCCCCTTTCTACAGCTTCTCATCCTCATTTTGTGACACCACCTCCTGGGAGCCTCTCATCTTCTTTCCTCCCTCAGGTTAGGTTTGGTGCCTACTTTATGCAATGCAATGGCCCCTACAGCCTTCCAGAGTGCGGGATGCACCCCTTCTTTATAGTAGCCAGTTTACTCACTGACAGTGGTGGACTGGCCCCTCCAACCACCACCTGGAGGGAAGGAATTGTGTTTGTTTCCCTTCTTGCTCTACACTTGGGGCTGGCACTTAGCAGGTACTTGGAAGGAAGGAAGGGAGGGAGGGAGGGAGGGAGGGGAGGGAGGGAAGGAAGGGATGGATGGAAGGGAGGGAGGGAGGGAAGGAAGGAAGGAAGGAAGAGCAGCTTCCCAGTGTGGCTTTCAGGGTGGGCCTCTCTTGCAGGGTTGGGGGTCCCTCCTGAGGGGCTCTCCCCTGTCCCTGTTGGGGTCTCCCAAGAGCCAGGGAGCAGGAAAACCTCTCGACTGCTTTTGGGAGGCCTGCCCTTTGCCCTCTGAGCTGTTCTTATTCTTTCCAGCAGCCCCCGGAAGAGGGCACCGAGGGAGTGGGGAGAAAGAGAGATTGAGGGGGAGAGAGTAGAGGAGGGCGCGCTGCTCCGAGGCAGGGGAAGAGCACTTAAAAACTGTCACTTAGGATCCCTGAAAGAATAAGCTGTAAAAACAACCACACGCACTCTGCTGGGTGACGCAAGTCAAAGAGAAATGCAATGCAATTAGTCACTGGTTCCGAGTAGGAGGTGGGCAGGGGGAGGGAGAATGATGAAGAACTTGGGGGAGCCTGCCGCACACGCTCTGCATCATCTGCTCCACGCAGCCCCCGCCGCCCCAGGGAGATGTGATTTCTTTCCTTTCGTCCAGCACAGCCCCTCTTTGCCTCTCCTCTTTCTCTCCCACGAGGTGGCATCTTCCACCTTTGCCGGCACAGGCAGGTTCTTCAGTCTAGAGTTGGGGAGAGGAGCCCAGAGTCTCTGGAGGCTCTGCTAACGGTGGGAGGGGGCTGCAGACTGGGGGGGCCCACGGGCGTCTAAAGGGTAGGTCCTTGGCCCTGGAGCCATTTGCAGCTCCCATTCGCAGCTCCCACCTTCCTGCCCACCTTCATCCAGAGGAAAGTTTGCTCTGTGCAGGACTTCAAGGGGGTAATTCAGTCCTCCCTCCTCTGCCAGGTACTTACTAAGCACCTGCCATGTGCCAGACCCTGTCCTCACACACTTGGGGCAAGAGGATGGATACGTCAGCAGGCAAACGGGATGCCGAGCAGTGGGAAAAGTTCATCCGCCCACAGCTGGCCCACCTGCCCCACAGTGACCACCCCTCACCAGGCCCTCCTTGCCTTCCTGGGTACGGTGGTAGTCAGTGGCGGTTAGAAGGTCTGATTGTTACTGCAAGGGCGCCAGGCTCCCTGGCAAGAGAAGGGGAGCAGGAAAGAAGGGTCCTGAGGTTAGTGTTAGGGGCTGAGCGTCCCTTGGGGACTTGTTAGAAATGCAAATGCATGGCCTTTGCCCAGACGTGCTGAACCAGACTCTCAGGGAGTGAGTGGGGCCCAGGAGCCTGTGTTTTGACATGAGTCCAGGTGGTTTCATTGTTCAAGAAAATTTGAGTTGTGCTGTCTTAAGGACTAGATGAAATTGACTCAAACCCCAACTTGTTGTCCTGGGGGAAGGCTGAGCCCCATCCAGCTCCCCACCTTGATTTTTGTAGCATTTAAAGGCTTTCCTAGTCACCAATGGCTCTAATTGAGGTTGGGGGCAGGGGGGAGAAGGATTAATAATTTTTGTTATCTATTTAGTACCCCAGGCCTTTATCGTTACCTTGGTTACAACCCAGAGAAGGATACAGGCTCTTCTTGATCCACCTTTTCGCACTTCACACCTCCCAGCGCGGCTCCCGTGAGGCCGTTGTACATAATAGACTTCTCCGTGTGGGTTGAAGGCATATCGAGGGGAGAAACCTCACAGAACTGCAAATGAATCGTTTAAAATGGAATATTTCCCTCTCTTTCCATTTGTCACACCACTGAAGACCCTGGTGTCTCCAGGGGCGGCCAACCTGCCCGTCCTTACTGGTATTGTCAGAACAAGCCATACCGGAAGTCTGGCTGCGACTGCAGTGTGCCTGATGCCGAGATTCCAATCTTTGACCTGGGGAGGGAGGCGGAAGAAGCGGATGAGCTCCCATCTGCGGCCGCACGGTGTAGGGTGAATATATGCAGCTGTTCTCTGGGGGCCCCGGAGGCTCTCGTATTTGC